GAGTTTTTAGATAAACTATTAAAAATCATCATACTTTAGAAATGTCTCTCTAAAACAGTCCCTTTAGATTTTGGTAACCTGAATTTCTAGGGTTGTGCTAAATTAAGTGACTGACTTATTGAATAGCTAGATCATTTAAAAATAATAATAAGACTCTAAAACATTCATTACTGAACACTAATTTCCTCTTACAGAAAAACTAGAGATTTTGGACTATAAATGAATAATGTTTGATGCCATCCTAAAATGTTTTAAGAACGCAAGGGTTTTAAAAATTAGCACTGACATTTATGCTCACCAATCTATAGAATGCTAATATAAAAGTCAATTCTTGGTTGCTTAAGGAAAATAGGATGTGTGTGTTCAGTAAAGAAGGTATGAAGAATGAAGTTACATTTTATGAAGGGAAAAGGAAGTAGGTCTGACTTACAGGTGGCTGTTTCAGAATGGGAGAACAAAGTAATGGGTACAGAAAATGTTAAGAAGGTTTGATGGAAAGTGCACTCCAAAGGAAGAGTTTTGTGCATAAATACAAGTTTTCTTGAGACGTTGAACTGCCTTTGATAATGGATTTTAAGTTTCTTTACCTCTGAAGTGATCTGTTCTATGTTTACCTTTAAAATCTTTTTTACTTTGGCTAAGTAAGTATATTATTTCACAGTGATCTATATGATTCTACCTGACAGAGTACTATAAACCCTTTTGATATTTATTGACAAAACTGCCTAAATAGCTTGACTTCTGGCTGATTTTGGGATGCTTCAGAGGGCCCCTGAGACATCCCAAGGAGCTATTAAACTACCTGAGTTCATTTGACATGTTAAATTGCATGGGGATTATTGTTGGAGGAGGGATAAATCTTCTCAGGTTATATTGTATGGTTGATGTTACTTATGTAGATATCCTAAAAATTATGAGAAATTCATAAAAATCTGATATGTCCTGGTAAAATGTTGCCAGTTATAATTTTAGTTATCACGTTAAAGTGTTACAAGTCACAGCAATGACCAGGTTACTTTGTCAATTATAATTTAATTAGATTTTAAACATGCCTTGTATGGTTTCACTCTCATGCCTTTAAAAAAAATGCTGGTAGTTCTTCAAGATTTATAAAAAAGACTTTTCTAAGATTAACTGAAAAATTTTGTTTGTTTGTTATCCAGTAAATTGGTAACAGACTGGAATTTAGTCTACTCTCTATGGTAAGAGAAAGAAGTTTTCTTAGAATGAATCTTTCAATAACAAATTATGGATTTCTTTGCCTTTAAGTGATTTATATTTGTTTTTAAAGTCTTTTGATACTTTAGTAAAGTAAATAAGTGTTATTTAAGATTATGGTACATATAAAAGCTCATTCTGCTTCTACCAAAAATAACCCCTCACTGTTAGACTTGTGCTATCTTAATGTCTTAAAACTGACAACGCCCCTGCTTACACTTCTAAATCTTTTCAAGCTTAAATACTGGGGACACATCAGCCCAGAAAGCAGAATTAACAGCCGTGATAGAGGCATTCAAAGAGTTTTCAGACCAGGCTTTTAATGTATTTTCTGACTCGCAGTATGTAGTTAGGTTGTTTCCTCAAATTGAAACGGCTGTTTTACCGGAAAATAAAGCCACAATTTTTATATTGTTATCTACCCTTCAACAACAAATTTGGAAAAGGTCAAAGCAATTCTATGTTGGACATATAAGAGCTCATTCTAATTTACCTGGACCACTCCATACGTTAAACCAAGAGGCAGATTTGCTAACCCGAACCATAGTGGCCAGTGGTTTTGAGGATGCTAAAGCCTCACATGCTATGCATCATCAAAATGCAACTGCCCTTCGATATCAATTCCATGTTCCTAGGGAATATGCACGCGAGATCGTTAGGACATGTCAACTTTGCCCTACTTCAGTTCCCACTTTGCCTTTTGGGGTAAATCCCCATGGCTTACTACCTAAGGTGCTTTGGCAGATGGATGTAACACATGTTCCTTCTTTTGGAAAACTATCCTTTGTGCATGTTACTGTAGATACCTTCTCCCATGTCATTGTGGCTACTGCCAGAACGGGAGAAGCCTATAAAGATGTAGTTCAACATCTTTTTGCCTGTTTTTCCTACTTAGAAATGCCAAAATCAATTAAGACAGACAATGCTCCAGCTTATACATCTAAGTCCTTTAAAAATTTCTGTGCCCAATTCGGTATATCCCACTCTATAGGAATTCCTTACAATCCCCAGGGACAAGCAATTGTAGAAAGGGCACATCAGACACTCAAAACACAAATCTCTAAGTTACAGGAAGGGCAGTTCAAATAGTTCTCCACTCCACATTTTGCAGCATGCCCTCTTTGTGCTCAGTAACCTTAATGCTGATCAAGCCGGCTTAACAGCTATGTTCCGTCCCTGGAACCCAGAACAAAAAGACATGAAACCTTTAGTAAAGTGGAAAGACCTCCTTTCCGGACTATGGAAGGGACCTGATCCCTTGCTAACCAGTGGGCGAGGGTATGCTTATATTTTCCCACAGGGTGCTGACTTGCCAATTGAGATCCCAGGCAGACTGATTCGCCATGGCGCAGTCCCCCAGACCTCTGGTTCCCTCGCAGCCTCAACCCTAAAGGAGGAGGAGCACGCCTCTGCCCTTACCTCGGCCTAGAAGGTCCAGCAGACTCTGAAACAACCGGCAACGGAGATCCCAGAAGAACAAATGGAAACCACCAGGACGTCCCGCGCGGGCGACTCAACAAGCCTCCATACCCACATGGGGGCAAGTTAAGTCACTCTGTCATCAAGCACAGGGACTAGCTTCCCTGCAGGGATCTTCAGCCTCTCCCGAAAGGGTTTTTATTGCCATGCTTGCTTTACGGTCTTGTCAGAACTCTCCGGCACAGCATTCAGAAGCTTGCGACTGAGATCCATCCGGCTGTCTTAAAAAGGTAAAAAAAGGGAGAGATGCCGGGAGCCAACAGGCTAGACCCTACCCATGACAAGGCCATGAGGGAGAAAACCTGGCGGGCAAGGCGGATCAAATGTTCAGGGATTTCAAAAAGCTGCCCCTGGCACTCACCTTAAAGATGATATCTGTCTTTCTGATGCCTGCCTCAATGGACTACTCCCTGATTTTTGTGACACAGGCAGAAGGCCTTCCCCGATCTCTTCCCAAATAAGAATCAATTTAGAATTTAATCAACAACTTTCCCAGGTGGTGGTATTTTATGAGATTATCCAGGGTGAAAGGAGTGTGTTAAACTCCTTTGCTGGTAGTTAGTTAGCCAAATGCATTTATGCCCTTGGTACTAATATGCATGATTGCTTATAATATCCTAATCATAAAATAACATAAAGAACCTGATTATATAAAAGCCCTAATAGACATAGAGCCTTTTTAAGGGGTAAAGGAGTCCTATTAGAAAACATAAGAAAAATTATTCTATAGGTGGTTATTGGGTTGAGATTTGCTTGCTGTGTTTTGCTTGCTGTGTTTTTGCTTCTAATGTGCTAAGGTTGTGTTATAGAAACTATTGTTAATATAGTTAAAGATCTAGNACACATAGACAGACACACATTGGCCGACAACACAGAACTGGGGGGCGGGACCCCCTGAGTTTTCTCACCAGATAGAAAGCTTTCTCCTGCGCCAGACACTTTCCTGCTTCACAGCAGGGCCCTGGATTTACACTGGACTTTCTGCACCAGACACCTTCCTGCTTTACAGCAGGGCCCCGGATTTACACTGAACTTTTTCAGACCTGCCTGAGCACCGGTGCTATTACCTGTCCTTTTTCCCCTTTGTTCCAAAGAGCGTTCTTCCCTGGCCAAGGGATCCCGGACGAGCCCCCAAATGTGCTGCCCGTAGTCCGAGTCCCTGGTCGGGAAAGAAGACTCCTCGAAACAATGCAACTTGCAATAGGGGAATTTATTACTGACTCGAGCCAGGGTCTCCCGCCCTCACCAAGTGTGTGAGGACGAAAGGCCCCAAGCCCCAGTTCTCTCGGGTATTTATTAGGTCAAAAAAAGCAGCAGGTAGTTGGCGCAAGCGGATTGGTTACACAGCAGGTAGTTGGCGCAAGCAGATTGGTTACACACAGTTGCAAGGCAATTTTTGTTGGCCCAACGTGGGGCTTTCAGCTTTCCCCTGACAGGTTCCCTTTTTCTTGCTAGGTATATGTTGATTGGCTAGCTCCAGGAGGCCTGAAAATTATGTTACCCCCGGGAAACCAGGCCTACTCCTAATCTAGGCTGCCTGTTATGGCGTTAGCCATGACAGCCTCACAGCCCTATCAAGGCTAGTCTCATGTGTTTTCTCTCTGTCTTGCCTATGCCGTTCATCCTGAGGGTACCCCCTGGATCCTGCCGAGGCTGGACCCCGGCAGGCAATAGAGGATGAGATGATTGGATAGCATCACTGATCAATGGGCATGAGTTTGAGCAAACTCTAGGAGACGGTGAAGGACAGGAAAGGCTGGAGTGCTGCAGTCCACGGGGTCACAAAGAGTCAGACAGGACTGATCAACTGAACAACATATTTTTCCTGCTGAAGATCTCCCAATAGTTTTCTTCATATTTTTCTTTTAATTGTAGAATATCCTTGAAGGTTGAGCCATGGGTGACAGTCTACCTTACAGTCAGGCTTCCAAAAATAATCTATTCATGAGAATAATAATGGGTTAACAGCACGTATTTCCATTTTCCTGTCCAGGGATCATGATCAATACGCTATTATCCCTCCCCTGTGCAGTGACATCAGCAGGTACAGGTATGGAGGACCATCAGGCAGCTTCACCCAGAATTTACCTCCTATTGCATGTATTTCATTTGTGGACCCAATGCCTCCATCACCTCTAACTGTTGTAAGTAAGATGGACAGCTCTCCTTTTTGTACTTTGCCAGTTACACAGGGAAGAATCAGCAGTTGGGCAGTTTGATCATGTTTGTTAATAAACAAGTTCTCCTTTCCCTCATTTTGTAAAATTGTTTGGATTTCTCCTTGGTAGTCTGGGTCTATAACTCCCCCACAGACACAGATCCCTTTTAAAGCTAGACTAGAGCATTCCTCGATTAACCCAAAGTGTCTGGGAAATATTGATACCAATACCAGGTGAAATAGCCCATATCAATCTTTTAATAAGCCTGTGTTCATATTACTAAGGCAGGTGGCACAGTGGTAAAGAATTCCACTGCAATTCAGGAGACTCAGGTTCCATCCCTGGGTCAGGAAGATCCCCTGCCATAGGAAGGAGCAACCCACCCCTGAATATTGAATGAATATTCAGGGTTGATTTCCTTTAGGCTTAACTGGTTTGATTTCCTTGTTGTTCATGGGACTCTCAAGTGTCTTCTCCAATACCACAGTTCAAAAGCATCAATTCTTCAGTGCTTAGCCTTCTTTATGGTCCAACTCTCACATCCATACATGACCACTGGAAAAACTATAGCTTTTGCAACTCACGTTCTATAAATTGCCTTTTTATTTTGTTGATTGTTTCTTCTGCTGTGCAGAAACTTTTCCCTCTGATGTTACCCCTCAACCAGGTTACTATTAATATGACCACACTGATGGAGTTTGGGGTGGGTTCCTTGGGGCAAGGACAGCTGAGTGTAGTGTGAGTCAGCTTGGGCTTCGATGGCATGCAACCTGTGTGGTCTCCCAGGCCCCACACTCAGGAGCGCCCTGCCCTTCATTTAATGCTCTGCAACAAGAGCTGTCTTGAAGTTCTTAACTTCTGAAAAGGGATTCCACATTTTCATTTTATACAGGACGCTGCAATTTCTGTAGCTGCTCCAATCTGTATAAAGACAAGATTTAGACCTGGCTTTAGGAGGCTAGACTTCCCTGGTGGCTCAGATGGTAAAACGTCTGCCTACAATGCTGGAGACCTGGGTTCAATCCCTGGGCCAGGAAGATCTCCTGGAGAAGGAAATGGCAACCCACTCCAGTATACTTGCCTGGAAAATCCCATGGACGGAGGAGCCTGTTAGGCTACAGTCCCTGGGGTTGCAAAGAGTCAGATACAACTGAGCAATTTCCCTTTAGGAGGCTAAGAAGGGGTAGGACAGGGAGACAGGGTGGAGGGCAGTCAGGCTAGCCCACTGATGGTATCAATAGATGAACAGAGTTGATAAGACAAAGGCATGAGGCTGAATTGCAGAGGGATCCACATCATGGATCAGGAGAAGCTCCAGAAAGACTGGTGACAGCAGTAAAAATGTAACAGTTAATTGAGGCCAAAGTCTCAGATGTCTGGTTGTAGGCTTAACCGTTGCTGACTCCTATTTCTTACTATTGTGTGCTCAGTTGCAGCTGACGTTTTTTGACTCCCGCCAGGCTCCTCTGTCCATGGAATTTTCCAGGCAAAAATATTGGAGTGGGTTGCCATTTCCTACTCAGGGACTCTTCCTGACCTAGTGATCAAATCCATGTCTCCTGCATTGCAGGCAGACTCATTTCCACTAACACCATCTGGGAAGCCCGTTTCTTACACTGATCAATGCTCTTTTAGTTCCACTCTTCTTACGTCTCTTTGTCTCTCTCTATATTTTTTTTTGAATTTTATTTTTTGGCCATGCTGCATGGCATATAGGATCTTAGTCCTCCGACCAGGGATCTAGCCCATACCCTCTGCATTGGAAGATCAGCGTCTAACCACTGGACCACCAAGGAAGTCTCAGTCTCATTCTTCATATACAACTCCCCATTTGCTGGAGTGCTGGACAAAGGCTTATTTCTCTCAAAGCAAATGCTGCTGCTTAGTTGCTAGGTCATGTCCAACTCTGTGACCCCATGGACTATATCCCACTAGGTTCCTCTGTCCAGGGGCTTCTCCAGGCAAGAATACTGGAGAGGGTTGCCATTTCCTTCTGCAGGGGATCTTCCTGACCCAGGGATCAAACCTGCAACTCCTGCTGCATCTCCTGAATTGCAGGTGGATTCTTGACCTCTGAGGCCCTGGGAAAGCCCACTTGCAATGTTGACAGCCCCTGGGTCTGGAGGGAGATTGGGGGCTGGAGGAGCAAGATTGGAGAGGCTGCTCTGAGCTGCTGACATTTGCGCTGGAAGTCACGGGAAGCCCCCGGGGCTATTGGAAACCCACACTCCAGTCTGCAGCCAGCACCCGAAATGCAGAAGCCCTGACAGGCTCCTCCCCCACTGAAGCTGCTCCCTGGCTGCTGCTGCTCCTCTCCTCCGCCTTCCTGCTGGAAGCTGTAGGGTTTTATAAACAGCAAGATAAAGACACATCTATTATCATACATTATCCACATCACTGGAGGGATGAACGGGGTCCCAGCAGAGCTCAGATTAACAGACAGAAAATTAAGCTCTCAGGGCGGGGGTGGGGAGAGGACACAGCGAGAAAGTCTTCTCCAGCCCTGGCTCTGCCAGATCCACAAGCCCAGTCCCCCCGCACCATGCTCCATCCTTGCTATCCCTTTGATTTATTCTCAGCTTGGTAGAGTTTTGTTTCACAGGTTTTGAGGGTGAGGCCGGGCATGCTCATTAAAAGAAGGTGCAGACTGGGGACCCAGAGGGGTAACACTCAGGGGGGCAAACTGAGGCTGCTAGCCAGCTCCTCTTTGCAGTGAGGAAGGTCTCTTCCACGTTACTGTGAAAGCTTCTGTGTTTCATTAAGGAGTGAATATCTCCATCAGGCCCACCACTCACCCAGGCCCAGGCACTGTTGTACCAGGGACTCTGTGCAAGGCCTCAGGTAACCCCAGAGGTGGCCCTGCAAATGGGCCTCGTCCCTGGGGCCACACCGTGGGTCAGTGGCAGAACTGGGATTTGCACCGCGGTCACTCTGGCTCCCTAGAGTTTTCCCAGGTAAAGAACCCACCCTCCAGTGCAGGAGAAGTTAAGAGACATGGGTTCCATCCCTGGGTCAGGAAGATCCCCTGGAGGAAGGCATGGCAACCCACTCCAGTATTCATGCCTGGAGAATCCCATGGACAGAGGAGCCTGGCAGGCTACAGTCTATGTTGTTGCATAGAGTTGGACATGACTGAAGCGACTTAGCACTCTGGCTCCCAAACCTGCAGCCAACCCTGTTCCCTGGTATCCAGTCCTGCAAGGGGCAGGGCAGGTGGGCACCTTCCTTACAGAGGTGTAAGCTGAGCCTCTTTATGTGTATGGGT